GGTGGACTGCCAAAGTGCCCTGCGGCTCCCTTCCATCCTCTCCGCTTTGCTTTCCTTCTCAGAGCATCAGAGTAAGGGATGAAAGGTGGAGACTAGATGCAAGGTATTTTGTTTGCTTAGATCTTCTGGGTGAGAAATACCTTCATATCTCTTAGCATGAATCTGTCCCTAATGATTTCAGTAGATTTTGTATGTGTCTGTAGACCAGTACTGAAGGCTAAGTTTGAACACGCAACATAAGGTTATTATAGGTAACACAACTGAGGTTATTTTCATAACAATCCTCATATACTGACAGAAACAATGACTTCAGATTCCACACCTAAAAATGTAGTTAATCTGGAAATCATTAAGGCTAAATAAAAATATGAAATAGTTAAAAAGCACATCCCTACTTTCTTTATGTTCCTGCATTTACCCCAGGTAACAGAAACAACCTTATTTTCTGCAGAACATTTCTGTACTCAATTTCTTCAAAACAACCAACATTTTTTTATTATTTTTTTTCCTTTCCATTTCTGTTAAGAACCAAGCAAGCTTTTATCAATGACATAGTAGTGATAGGAGAACATGTGGACTCAGCAATGTGCCCTAATGTTGCCAGCAGAGCCCAAGGTGACTTCAAAAGTAGCACAGAGGACAACTCCTGGAGAATGGAGCATAGGGCACAGTGGAAACAACTGATCCTGCCAAAGGCCATTACCAGGAGCATGAGCTGTCCTAAACCAGAGGTAACAGGTAAAGGAGTTTACGCTAGACAACGGGAGTTTATTTGAGCATGAACTCAGTAAGAGTTATGCAGAATACCTCATCATGGCAACCTAGCTTCACCTCATCTCTCTTCCTAGCATTGTAAACACTTGCTGTTTGCTGGTGGGACTCAACAGCAAACAGCTGTTTGTCAGGAACTGGAGGGGATGGACCATATCCTCTCAGCCCACCTGGAGGGCATGATCTGGGAGTGTCTGGGGGTGATGCAAGTGAAAAAAATAAGGAATAATTTTTTCATCATTTCAATTAGTGTGCAGGTGTGGCTTTTGAACTTCCAGGAGCAGATTAGATGGCGTTTGGGAAAAGCAGCATTACCTTTAGAGTGAGTCTTGAACCACTGATGTAATGTGGTTCTGAAGAATGGACTAAATTCTAAAATTAAGCTCCAAATTGAAGGAATGTAGCCACTCATAACACAAGCAAGCAAAACACACACACATACCAATTAATTGCTTAATTGCTTACTACATGACAACCTTGAAAAATAAAGCTCTCTTGAAGTTAGTTTCTATTAGGGGGAGAAATTGTGTGATTAGTAATGATTTGATGTTGGAACATCCATTATTTTTTTTTCTTGGCAAGGTATGAAAAGAGGAATTTTAGATATTTTCAGTTGGAATTATAGAATCATTGAGGTTGGAAGGGCAACCTAGAAGGTTATTGACCTTCTGTGCTGTGAATACACATTGCTGACTTGTTGTGAACTTTTTGTCTTCTAGAACCCATAGATTTTTTTTTTTTTTCTGCAGTGCTGCTTCCCAACTTGTTGTCACCAGCATGTACAGGTGCCTGGGGTTATTTCTTGTCAGATGCAGGACTTTATATTTCTCCTTGCTGAATTTCACAAGATTCCTTTCAGCCCAGTTCCCCAGCCGGTCCAGGTTCCTTTGAATGGCAGCACCCCCAGCTGGTGTATCAGCCACTCATCCCAGTTTAGTGTCATCTGAAAATGTGCTGAAAGTGCACTCTGTCCAAGCATCCAGGTCATTAATAAAGATAGACAATATTAGCCCTAGTATTGATCCCTGGCATACTCTATCTAAATAAGTATGTAAAAGGCACTAAGTGCACTGAGTAGGACCATACACCATACATTTCACCATACATTTTCCTCAAGTCTGTAATAATTATACAATTCTATGATTCTAATATAGTGTAGCTCATACTGAAATAAAACTTAATCATAACTTTCCTAAAATCAGAAGTCTGTTGCTACAATGCTGTAATGTCACAGTGCCCAAGGATGTTCATTATATGTTTCCCATAAATTTGTATCTAATCTAATAATCTAATATTACTGAATCCTAACTGATTTTTTATATATATATATATATATATATATATTTATTTATTTTTTTCCTTTTCTTTCTTTAAAAATGGCTGAGTGAGAAAATGGGAAATTAATTGTACCCTGCAGACTGGACTGTTTTTTTTTGTTTTGTTTTGTTTTGTTTTGTTTTTGTATGAATTGCAGAACAGCTCCCTGGCAAGATTTGTAGTGTGAAGTGATACTTTTTTCTGGACTGATGAAAAAAAATATGGAGAAGACAGACAAGGTCCTTGCAGATCTGAAATGGAAGTAGTGGGGTAGAATAGTTAGTATTGACCTTCAAAAGTAAATACAGACTAAGAACAATTGCTCTGACTGTAACTGCACAAAGTTAGACAGTCAGGAAAAGTTAGATGTGATGTAGAGGAGCAAGTGGGAAAGAAATGAAGAGTTTAGCATTCAGATCTCATATACTGAGCCAATAATTTCCGTACATCACGTGTAAGATGCTTCTGCCAAGTGAGAAAGTACCATTGATTTTACCCACACAGACTAATGGCAGAAGTGAGAGGAAGCACCATAAATCTCTACCAGACACTGTAAGTGAGGTCTGTTCATCTACTTTTTCTCAATGACAAGTGGGGCAAGAGTCAAAAACGAAAAAGTGGGGCAAAAGTACTAAAAGAAACAATGCGAGGAAATAGTGAAAAGTTGTGTAATGTGCCTACTAGAGTGGATATGATGATGCCCTATGTAACTGGAAACAAGTTGCAGGTGTTAAAACAAGTAAATAGTGGACTTCATGTTGGATGCTGGCAGCAATGTTTTTTTTGTGTCACACTACCTGCTCCAAGGTACCTTGGTGTAAGGGGGACTCAGAAAGGCCACCTGGTGGCCTGCTCAGTGGGAATCACATTGGTCATCTATATCAATGGAGAAAAAGTTAGGCAATATTTGCTGAGGGCTGATAGCCAGTTTGGGTATGTAGTTTTGTGGGCAAAGAGTGATGGGACTGATGAGACAGCTAGTCTTTGGTTAACCTGGCCTAGTTGTTCCTGAAAAGGAGCTTCCCCTATAGCAAATCCATGACTCAAATATCGGTGATAAAACTCTGGAAATGTAGAATCTTGCATATTTGCTTTTCTGACTTTCATTGACCTTATGCTGGTCAGAGCTCCGGGGAATATTTATTCATCACGTACCCCCCTCCTCCTCCTTCTTCTCCTTCTCTTCCTCCCCCCCCCCCCCCAACATGCTCTGATGTGATCTTGTTATATTATAAAATTAAGCTTCTGCTTCCTGTTTTGATTCCTTAGAACTGTAGTTGGACACTCATTGAAATGTCACTGCAATTTATATTACACATATCTACTCAACGCTTAAAGATCAAAGGCAGCCCTTTCATGCAGTCAGGTGGTCTCATGGGGGGAAGAGGTAACAACATCATGCAGGGGAGGGAGGAGGAGTACAAGGACAGAAATAATTTCAGTGCCTGGGACGGGAACCCTAGAGTTAGACATCTCAAAGGTGGGGCAGATGTCCTTATGACGATTGAAAGAAAATGGACAGAAGGAGAAAATACTGACAGGAACACAGAATGGGTATAGTAACACTAGCAGTGGCTGTCAGGAGGCAAAAGAGAGAAAAAGAGAGACAAACACCTGAGAAAATACGGCATAGAAAACTCTAAAAAAAAGTTGAGAGATTATTATATTTTTTTTTTCCTGTCAGTATGTTTCTGGCAGGATGTACTGCTTCAGTGGTCACTTATATCTTTTAATGTCAATCTCAGGAAAGCAGCAGCAGAACACCAAGGTATGCTGACATTGAAGCTCCTGTGAGAAGGAGAGTCATCCTGCTATATTTTCACAGCAGTTCTTCATAAGGGAGGCCTAGAACAGGTGGGAAAGTGGTGCTATGTAGGGTGTACAATAGCAAAAAAATTCACTGGCAATGTGAGGACATTGGATGAGGTCTTAATGTTTGTGCTAGAGAGAAGACCCAAAATTGCACACCCTGTCAGAGGTTAGCTGCATGTGGTGCAAGCTCTGAAGCACCCACAGAGGCTCTCAAGGACAGATATGGAATTCCCTGAGCACCTTTCACACTCAAACCATGTGCAACTGGCCTGAGCAATGTCTCTGTATAGATGCCAGGGCACCACTCTTTCAAACACAAGACTGAGAACATCCTGATATACAGAAGGATATCAAAGGCACTCACCAAGACACTGGCAGGCAGGTGGTGATTTCTGCACCCCAGGAGGCCCTTCGTGGTGGCTCTGGACATTCTCGGTGGGGACCACCTCACTCAGCTCAGCAGCTCCTCTGCTACTCTCAGACAGAACATTAAAAGTGTGGGCAAATGATAATACAGCACATCAGCTGATGTTAGTACTGCTGCTAAAACTGATGGAGCTAAATGACTGGATGAAAGAAAAAAGATGAGGGATTAGAGGGCCTAGAGTAAATACTCCTAAAATATTTGTTAGCAAGGGGTTTTAATTACATAAGTGTTCCTATGTATTAAAATGGGATTATTCACATGAATACATCTTTGAAGCAGATGCATCTTAAATAAAGTATATATATTTTTTTTCAGTTTATAAGATTTAAGGTGATTATTGTCTTTTCTTAAAAAGATAAGCAGATTTTTACTGTAGTATTTATTACTTTTACATCTTTCCAGTTGTTTTACATATACTGCTTTGCACATATATTTTTTGATAACTTGTTTGCCTCTATTACTCCATCATTGTCAATTTCTGTATTTGTTCAAATTAAAGATTCAACAAAAACATTAATACATTGTATTGATTATATTGGAATGAGTCACAAATGTGTTTCATGCTCAATTTCCTCTTGAATCAGTAAGTTTTTATTCCTTTTGATCACTCTGTATGATAGATTTCTCAGTGCTGGTGTAATTTCTTTCAAGTTTTTGTCTTTTTCTATTGTAGATATTGCTGACCTTCACACAACCCTGCATCGATACTCTGTTCTCACGAACATTAATACAACCACAAGTTTTAAGCTTCTTCTCAGCTTTATCCTTTCTCACCTCTCATGGATGAGCTCCATTTAGGCTATAGCCAACAGCATCTCCTTCCAGATTCATTCACTGGAGATAATGGTGGGTCTTTCTGTGCCTAAGGTAAGTGAGATACAAGTGAAGGAAGGATCTGAAAGAAAAAGTGCAATAAGAGAACCTGGCAAACTTTTTTTTTTCTCCCCACAGGTCAATGATTTATCCATTTGCTCTCTTCTATTTATGAGTGATCTGAAAGTGAGCTTTGCCACAGTGTTTGCTACGACTTTCAGTTGCTTTGGAATTAATTGCTGTGACTATCAGCCTTACTATTAATGTGTACTGTGTATAGTGTAATAATCCAAATTACCTGCATTTGCATCTATTAATTGGTTTAAGGACTCTTTAAATCCACAAAGGGCTTTCAAGATAAATGTGAATACATGCTTATATCATAGAATCATAATATAGAAAAATAGAATGGCTGGGGTTGGAAAGGACCTTAAGTATCCTCTAGTTCCAACCCCCCCCCCCCCCCCCCGCAATAGGTAGGGATGCCACCCACTAGATGAAGTTGCCCAACACCCAATCCAGCCTGGTCTTGAACACCTCCAGGGATGGGGCATCCACAGCTTCTCTGGGCAACCTGTGCCAGGGCCTCACCACCCTCTGAAGAGTTTTCTCCAAACTTTTAATCTAAATTTCCCCTATTTTAGTTTAAAACAATTTCCCCTTGTCCTGTTATTATCTGATTGAGCAAAAAGTTGCTCTCTATCCTTTTTATAAGCCCCCTTTAAGTACTGACAAGCCGCAATGAGGTCATCCCAGAACCTTCTTTCCTTCAGGCTGAACATCCCCAGCTGTCTCAGCCTTTCTTCATCAGTGAGGTGCTTCAGCCTTCTGATCAGCTTTGTAGCCCTCCTCTGGACCTGTTTTCACACATTTTTCTTGTACTGGGTGCCCCAGACCTGGACACAGTACTCTAAGTAGGGCTCACATGGGCCCACTTCTCCAACTTTTCCAGGTCCCTTTGGATGACATCCCTTCCTTCTGTTGTATCAACTGCATCACTCAGCTTGGTGTCATCTGCAAACTTGCTAAGGGTGCACTAGATCCAGTTGTCTGTGTTGCTAATAAAAATATTAAACAGCACTGGTCCCAAGACAGACCCTGGAGGAACACCTCTTGTCACCAGCCTCCTCTTGGACACAGAACCATTGACCACCACTCTCTGTGTGTGACCTTCAAGCCAAATCCTTATCCACTAAATGGTTCTCCCATCAAATCCATATTTCTCTAATTTGGAGATCAGGATATCATGTGGGACTGTGTCAAAGGTCTTACAGAAATCCAACTTGTCAACTGATGCAGTCACTTCATCTCAGAAGACCACCAGATTGGTCAGGCATGATTTACCCTTTGTGAAGCTGTGCTGGCTGTCTCAGATCACCTCTTGTCTTGCATGTACCTTGACATTGCCTACAGGAGGATCTATTACATGATCTTGCTAGGCAGAGAGGTGAAGCTCACTGGTCTGTAATTCTCCATGTCCTTCTTCCTACCTTTTTTTTAAAATGGATGTGATGTTTCCCTTTTTCCAGTCACCAGGGACTTCACCTGGCTGCCAGGACTTTTCAGCTATGATAGAGAGAAGCTTGGCAACTACATCAGCCAAATGTAGCTTATATAATTCTCTCTTTGCAAACATGTGTTCAGAGAATGTACATAACCCTATCTTCAAATTATTATTATTATTTTTTTTTCTCACTACCTGCCATGGAATGCACTTTCAAATGTATATGAAAACAAAGTGAACAATTTATTGAATCACCATTTACAGATATACAGATATTGTTCTGCAATATTTGCCCATGTTTAAGGTGTTTATAGAAGTATCATATGTGGGAAGGAGGAATCAGAAACACATGAACAGAATTTTATGTACAAATAATGTAAACATTGCCTAACAAAGACTCCAGACAGCACAGCATAATATGATTAATGTATCTGACTCAGCTGAATCCCAGTGTTTAAGTCATTATGACTAAGTAATGGATGGGTTTTGGGAAATGAATTGAGAGTCTCAGACTTGCTCCTGCTGGACAGCTATCACCATCATACAAATGAAATTATTATCCTATTGTTTCATAAGCTCAGGAGAGAGATAATGAACAGAATAGATAAAGTAGCTGAACTATGCCTTGTCCTTAAAACAAGTTGGCAACTAATTAACAAGATGCTATGGTAGAAACTTTTATTCCCATTGCCCTTGCATGACTTCTTCAGCCTGATAAATAAAACTCCTAAGGTCTCTACAAGTTCCTTATCAGTGATATCTCGGATGCAAAAGCTCCACACAGGTACCTGTAATTCCTACATGAAGTTGCTGGTTTTACTAAATGTTATACAGAATATTTTCTAAGGACTTGACTAATTGATTGGGGAATGAGTCCTCACTTAAAAATAACCTGTCCCTTGAAAAATAAAAGATGGCTAAAGAAAAACAAAATAATGATTTGCAACAATGCAGCATTAATTAAATAACTTCTCAGGGGAAAAGATTTCATAAGATACTTTTCATCAACTCACAGACGTTCAAGAAAAGTTCATTCTGCTAAAAAGAGCTCCAATACATTCAGTACCTAAAAACAAAGATGTACATCATACAGCTGAAAGGCCAGGAGATGCCTGAAGATATCATTTACTCCATCAGTGCCTAGCAAGACAGGATCAACCATAGATATATCTTTCTTGACTATAATCCATTTACTTTTTTTTTTTTTTTTTTTTTTTTTCCAGGGCAAGAGATCAACTGTCTGCTTTCTCCTCTTTAAAGTATAAACTATTTGTGAAGATTCTTATTAAATCATAATGATTATTTTTTATATTCTTAGTCCTTATTTTTATGGCAATCTTCAAGGAACTGAGAAAATGAGAACATGGCATATGACAAGGAGTTTAAACTGCCTTCAAAGAGCTGTCAATAAACCAGTCGACTCAAGTGTACAGTGTAAATCAGCCTGTAAGAATTCCTAAAGATTGATCTTTCTCTCCTGCTCTTGTCTTAGAAGAGATGGTGGTTGTACCAAGAGACACAAAGGATTCTGAGCACCTGTGTCAAGCATAGGGGAAACAAAACTCACTCCCAGATGGGCCCTATGAATTCTGCAAGACAAAAAACTATTGCTATCCCAAAGGCCCTTTGTTGGGCACACCATCAATGACTCATCAAATGTTCAGTGTGGAAACATGCAAACAGATATTGATAAGGCATGCCAAGTAATAGAATAACAAAGTAATTTTTTCTTATTCATAATAACCCATTAATTACCTCTTAATACAAGTAAGACAGGAATTATCCAAGCATCCTAATCATCTGAGTTTCATATAGTAGTTTCCCCTCTAAAGATTTTCTTCCTAGTGGGTCTGTTCTCATGGGTTGTTATAAAACCACATCTACTGCCTTTCATAGCCCTTCTGCTTCCACTCATTTTTATAGCCTTGTCCCCAGATGTCTCTTCTGAGAATGTGAGTAGACAAAATGAAGCTACAATAAAGCCAACAAGACTTTTTGCTTCCTATGAAAAACAAAGAATAACAACAGATGTAGAGGATCCCTCTTGCTTCTCTGCAGAATAAAACTAACAGACATGAAGTTGGATGAGGGACTGCTCTCCTCAGTTCCTCTTAAGAAAATGAAATACACAGAACATTAGTAGTAGAGTCTTGCTTTGCCATTTAGTGCATTCTCAAAAACATGCTGTTGTTGCTAAGAATTGTATAGAATAAAAGTTGGATGGCGATAAGCAAGCCCTTATGGATTTTGGCACGACTTCATCCTTGAGAAGACTCCTCCAGGAGGGTCCCAAGCAGACATTCTTGCAAAGAATAGGAGTGGTTGAGATGGACTATCACATATACTGCAGAGTTTACACACTGCATAGCTCTACAGGCTAAGAGGCACAAAGAAGGAGATGCAGAACAGAAGTGGAAACTTCATGTAGGATTTTTTCCCCCAACAGGATAGGGGAATTCAGATGTTATTTTGGGCCTCCCTGTGGATGCATATTGGCTGGCAATCATGTATTCCTGCAGAGCAAAAATGTCAGGCTCTTATGTTTGCCTATGCATGTAAAAGCCTGTCTTGATACAGAAACAAGGATCTTGCTGCAGAGGTGATATAAGGCCACTGTAATCCTCATCTCCCCTTTCACCAGACCACCCTAGATTAATCCTGATGTCTTTTTCTGACAGGTTTACAAATTACCTCATTAGTTCCTGTGAGCCTACATTCCTCCACTCAGTGTATGAGAACAAATAAGCAAAGACAAAAGCAAAGACAAAAATCACAGCAGGCTGGAATTCGCACACTAAGTACTTGTCAGGCAACACAACAGCATGATATAAGGAATTCATGCAACAAAACCAAACTAAAACAAAAAAAAAGCCTTGGTCAAAACAATTATGTTTTATTCTGTGCCAGGCACAGAAAGGAGTATCTGGTTCAACAAGTTATTGGAATAATATATTGACAAGTCTTATCTCATTTTCCTGGAGCTCATTCACTCACTTTACCTACAGGCATTGTATGCATACTGTGCTACTGCTAGTTACCATTTATATATATATATATTTGTAATTTTCTTACAGCATTATGTTTGTACTAACAAAGTCCAGTCTTATATAAATACTGTCATAAGTAATATATATTCCAGAAATGTGTATCTTAATGCAAAACAATAGCTACAACTATGCATGTGTTTTCAAAATGATAAAATGGAACTTTTTCCTCTATTGGAATGTTTAAATACTATCTATTTATTGTCTACCTACTAATATTCTCACTTCTAGATGAGCAAAACTATTTTGGGAAGGTGATGTTTCACATCTCTATTTTAAATCTGGAAACTACATAATGCTTCATAAAGTCTTACAACCCAGACTTATGGTATCTAGTTTTGAGTCCTATGGTTTATAAAGCCCATCTCCTTATACTCTGTGGGGTGCCAAGCTTACAGCTTAGCTTCAAGAGTGGGACACTGCAATGTGCACAAAAACTCCATTTGTTCATTATTTTTTTTTTGATAGGTTTTCTTTGTTCTGCCAAATATCAGAATTTATTTTCAATAGAACTATCATCTGCTTACATGGCCATCAATGAGCTATTTTGACATTTGTGAAATACACAGACTACATTTTAGAGCTTATTTTTTTATTATTATTTTATTTATTTTATTTTTATTTTTTACTTTAAGGTTACAGACTGGAAGTCTAAAAGCTAAAATGAGTGGAGTAGGATGCCTGGATTATAAAAGATTCTGTAGGCATGTTAGAAAGTAGGTGGAAGGCAGATTTTCAGAAGGATGCTACTAACAATAGCATACGAAAGACTGAGTAAATATTTCTACTGGAAAAGAGCCTGAATAAATTACAGAAAGTATCAGATATTATAACTGAATTAAGATTCCTATGGGTGGAAATTCCACACCTATAGAGGTAGAGCAGAGCATGGAGGAGACTGATAACCCCTGTATCTAAGTGGTACCAGTGAAAGTGTAGAGCCAGTGCTCATGAAATGCTACCTATGTATGCTAACCCAGATGGAAAGGGGTATCAGGGAGTCCCACACAGGCCAGCCCAGATTGCTCAGGGCAACCTGCTCCATTTCAGTCTTTAAAACTGCAAATGCTGTCATTTCTTCCAGTTTGTTCAAATGCACCCTAACCTGATCAACCTCTACTAAGGGTAACAGACCTCCCCCCTGGTCTCAGTGGCCTGGGACTCCTAAAAACCAGTCTTACCAGAAAAGAGTGAGGGGAAGAATGCACTGAGTACCTTGGTCTTTTATGTTTTCATTGACAGCATCCCTCTGCCATTCAGCAGTGGGCTCACATTTTCTCTAGTTTTCCATTTAATGCTTGGTACCTGTAGAAATGCTTATTGTTGACTTTCATATTCCTCACCAGATTTACCTCCAGATGGGTTTTGGCTTTCCTAATCCCATCCTTGCACACTTGGGCAGTGACTTCATGTTTCTTCTGGGTTACCTGCCACTGTCTCCACTTCCTGTTTATGCTTGTATTCAGTCAGGAGCTCCTTATTTATCCATTCAGGGTGTCTTCACTTGACTTCTTGATCACCTGTGTTGGGATGTTATCATCAATGCACTCCAGAAATCTGTGCCATACTATATTGTCCCTTCAGCAGATATTGGGGTCTGTAAATATGAGATTTCTTCCAGTTATCTGGAGGACTCTAGTTGTATGAGCTACCCCGTCACATCTTGATAAGGTTGTAGTCATGTAACTGCATGCAGATCTTCATTTCCTTCTTTTGTTCTCATGCTGTAAGCATTAGTGTTCACTTCAGAGAGTCATCCAGGTGTGCTGCTTTCCCAGAAAGGCTGTGAGAGCTTTCCCTATATGCTAAGGAATCCTTGTCAGTAGACTGGGGCAAAGAAGGAAACAGATGAATAACATCAGATGCTGTAGCTTCCCCAGTCCATTTAAGATTCAGAGGAGTTACATTACTATGATACAGTGGTTATATATTCAAACACTATTGCCTCCAATCCTTAGAGCACATAGGCAGGCAGAAAAACAGCTCATTATTTAGTTTTGACCAACGTATAGACTGGTTCAAGACATAATTATCAGCCATCTATAGCAGTGTAGTCAGATTCAATATCCTAGTAAGAGAAAAAAAAAAAAAAAGCAAAAAAATGGCATGATAGCAAAGCTGCCTTAAGTGAGAAAACTAACTAGAAACAGTTGCTAAAAGCATAAAAACATTGGAGACAGCATGGAGGCTGTTGATGGCTCAGACTATTTTTTCTGTGTCAGAGTTAATATGCACTGCAAATCAATGTTTTAGGTTCAAAGTAAGTGTATCATAAATCAGAAAGGACTTGAAGTGGATCTTCAAAAAGAAAAAAGACTATGTTAAAAGAACAGAAAGAAGGAGGGTCTTGAAAGTGAGAATGCATCTTTAAAATTCTGCTTGAAAGAGGAAAATGGAATTAGACATGAACTCTGGGAAGTTAAAAGTTAATTCATAGCAAGGAAGCCAAAAAGATTTTGATGAGAAAATTGCTAAAAGCATATAAACTAGTCATAAAAATAGATTTGAAGAACACATCAGAAGCAGAAAGCCTGCCAGAAAGCCCATGGTGCTGATACCTGGCTGAAGCTTTGAAAGATAACTCAAGGACAGTAAGGCCAGGGGAATAAATAAATAAATAAATAAATAAATAAAGTAATGAATACTCAGCATAAGTGTTTGTTATAGGAAAAATCAGCTGACAAATCTAAGCTATTTATATTCTTTATTGGGAAAGGAGTTTAAAGAACTAATATCAGTGGCATATGCCTTAGCAAAAAAAAAAAAAAAAAGTATTAAGATGTTTCTTGGACAACAGGATATTTACTCAGGGTTTTGAAAGGATTTCAGATATAGAATGGCTGGATTTCAATGGATAGCAGTATTATTTCTTGTCAAAACAGCATCTGTATCAGACAAATAGGAGGGGACAAAAATACTACCAGTATACTTAAAAAGTGTCTGAGGATGTTCTAGAGAACTGTTTATTAGAAAGGATTTAAGTCTATCAGTTTTATAAAAATAACAGGAAAAGAATGAAATGAATAAGCACACAGAATAATATTAATGCAATGGCAAGGATTTTGTTAGAATACTGTAGAAGAAAGTAATACATTTCAAAATTTATACAATACAGAAACACTCAAAATGTGCAAGAAAAAAGATCTACTGTAGGTGAATTTTGAAAAAGCTTTGGCAAGGTCTGTCTGTAAAATCTCGTAAAGAAATGGAACAGAAAATGAACAAGGAAGGTGCTCTCATGAATTAATAACTGCTTAAAAGTCAGAAAACAATGAAAAGAGATAAATGGATAGCTTTCAGAGCAGAAAGAAAGGTGAAGCATGAGGTCCCACTCTGATCTGTGCCACTTAACATTTTTATAAATGAAAAGGCCATGAATGAAGAGGTGACAAAATCTGATGACAGTATAAAACTTTTCAACATAATGAAAATTATTGCTGCTGAAGGATCTCGCAATACCGAGATTTGCAAAAGTACAATGGCAGATGTTTTGACGGTGTGAAGAGGCTGATATGAATGGCAGTCCTATTAGTCTTTATGCTACTTTTTACCTAGTTAATTTAACTTGATCTAAAATGAAAGATGAATCAAACTAAAGACATATAGGGTCCTTTGGGATTAAAAGTCTGGCAGAATATTGAAAATCTTTTCTGAGTTCCCTTCCTGTCTTGTGATAGCACTTTTACTCAGTGTAGCTGTGTGGAAACCAACCAAGAAAAGTATATTTTCCTGCTTTCCAGTATTTGCAATTAAAAGTCCAATCAATTTGTTCTAATCTTAAAAAATGCTCTTGGGAGATCTGTTCCCGAAGTTGGTGAAGGAGCCCTGCATTTTTTGTTACCTGAGCTGGGCTTTGCTGCCTTTTTTTTTATTATTATTATTTATTTTATTTTATTTTATTTTATTTTATTTTAGTTTAGTTTAGTTTAGTTTAGTTTAGTTTAGTTTAGTTTAGTTTAGTTTTCCCTGAAAGCATTAGTTTGCAAACTCTTTAATAGCTCTTCTGTGTGATTTTTCCCTGTTTGTAGCAAGCTGGGAAGAATTTCCTTTCCTTTCTCAAAACTCAGTGGCCTTGCAGTGTAATACCTGTAGG